AAACTATAAATTATTTGTTAAAAAATTAAGGTTCACTTTAAGGCTAAAATTTTTAATTGGTTTACAGCCGATTTTAAGAATTTTGCAATAAATTTTCATTATTTCCTTTGCAGCTTTCCGTGCGAATTTGTGTAATTTTTCTATATTTTTCCATTGGTCTGCCAGTTTCTCATCTTTGCTCGTTTACAATGCATTACATAATTATTATATAATATGTATGACTATATTTTCCTTAAACTGCTATATAATATTTCTGAATTTTATAAATACAAAACAATAAAAACTATTGAAATATTTACAATTTCACACATAGCACAAGTCTACGCATGTGTGTGTGTATGCATTAAGAGACATTAAAAATCTATGATTCGAAAAATACAATTACAATTTCAGTTTTCGTTTACACTTACATTTCTAAAGTAGTTACACAGAAAATTAAATAAATATCATAACTATGTAGGAGTATGAAGGTTTAACTATATGTATGTATGTATGTATGTAACTACATGAATACGCTTGTATGTGTCTATAGTACATGCAATGAATTAATCTCACACACATATGTAGATGTGCTTTTATTTATATGTGTTTGTATGTAAGTGTGCAATTAGTCGCTAGTAGTACCAATCAACTGTAAATACAATAAAAACTTCCACAATTTGTCGTTAACCGAAGGAAAATTCGTAGTTTACTTAATAATTAGTTCATATGCTTCTTCGTAGTGTTGTTGTAATAAAAATAAATCATTCACTCGTTTGTGAGTAGTTACTGATTTGGCTTTTGATGTTTACAATTTTAAAATTCAAATTTAGTTGGGCGATTTGCTTTCACAATTTCACTGGTTGCGTTGGTGATGATGGTGTAAATGTTGGCGCCGCAGCCGAAGCGCCTTGCGAGCGCGCTGCCTCGGCGCATGTGTGCGTGAGTAAATTTTTCAAGTTAGCACCTCTTGCAGGTGACGCGCGTATGCCTCCGCCGTATGGAACTCGGGTTCGCTAAAATGGCGATAGAGAGAGATTTACTAAACATTTTAATACTTTGTAGGGAGGCATAACTTTCGTTTCCATAAATAAATCATACATATACTATATACAAATTTCTCGACCTATTTTTATTTAAATATATCGTGAATTTATATTACAATACTTATACTCATTCACACGTACTATATGTGATTTCTTATTAAATCTATAACACGCGATAATACCCTGTTTTCGGGGTGAAGAGGATGTACTAAGTTGGCCTCGAAGCGTGTAACATCCAGAAAGAAGCGTCGGTTTCGCCGATATCAGACAAATATATCATATATAATTATATCATACTTATGTAGCTGCCACACAAACAGCCCCTTCAAGATCCCGTCCTTGTATGAGTTGTTATTTAAGACAATGATCTCCGCAGAAATTATTCAGATCTGAGCACTATATGATATAGCTGCCGTACAAAGTGAACGATGAAATTGAAGCCCTTGTATAGAAAACTATTTTTCTGACAGGGTAGGTAGGTAGGAGCACTTAATGTGCCATTTTGATACACTATTCGTAGAACCTCCTGCATCTGCTATTACGTTTCACATTCTCTCTCAAACCATTTAGAGGTTTCTATGAAACTACTAAAGTCCGATATGATTTTAGGGGAAACCCGTTCAAGGTTTGGTGCTTGATGGATCCCAAGTGTTTTGTGTCGGATCTGTGCTACAGCTGGGCATTCGCAGAGAAAGTGGAATATTGTTTGTAATGTTTTTCTATCTGTTATTTGCAACTTGTTGAAATTGTCTGTTTATCTCCTTTGATCGATCCTAGCAGGCTTGGTATTAGCTCCGTCTCGGATTCGTTGCTCGTCTGCTTTTTCGTTACCGAAAATGTTCCTGTGGCCGGGAACCCAGATCAAGTGTAGTTGGAGATTGTCTTCTATTGAGCTTAGTGCTCTCTTGCAGTTGTGAACTACGCTGGAATTTGTCATGGGTGAAGACATGGCCAGGAGCGCCGCCTGGCTATCCGTAAATATAGTTGCTTTATGTACATTCCCGTGGTTTTCTAATAGAACTTCGCAGGCTTTTTCTATGCTTAGTACTTCCGCTTGGAAGATGCTAGTCCAGTTCGGTAGACGGTTGTAGAGAGATATGCCTACATCAGCGGAGAACACCCCCGTGCCTACTCCCCAGTCTATTTTGGACCCGTCGGTATAGACTGAGATGGTATCCTCCTATCCTATTGAACCTCTTCTCCATTCTCGTCTAGATGGCATCCTCACGTGGAAGTGTCTATTGAAATCCAGCTTTGGGAGAATGTAGTCTGAATTATTAAGGGCTTGTTTAAGATTACACTATGCTCAGTCGGACATGACCTGATTGGACCAGTAATACCCCCACATGCTGCTCTTTGTATTCCATTTAACGGTTTAATGTTGTATTGTTTGTTTAGCGCTGGTCACCATACCAGAGCTCCATATGCATATCCGTATACATCCACATGATTATGCTTGGTTTGAGGCTCCAATTCTTGTTGACGATTCTCTTACAACTATAGTAGGCCATGTATGCTTTGTTTATTCTTTTTTCTATATTTATTTGCCAGGATTGTTTGGTGTCAATCTCCGACAAGGTATAATCACGAACTATTTTTCAGGGATACAATACAATCTCCGAAAAACCAGCTCAGATCGGATGATGTATGTATTCATTCACCATATCCCTATGTGTCCACGAATATGTGCATTATCAAATATATGTGAATTATTATATTCCTACGGCGAATCACATTTACTCTTTCATAAATATAGTAAATATTATTTATTATACATACATATAAGTATATATATATGCACTTCATTTGTAATTGTGAAATATGGGTGCGCGCATGCAGACTATATAGTATAAATATCATATATAAGCTTTGTTCTACCGACAGCTGTTCGAATGAGCGCGTATTCAAATATTTCCAATTCAGTATGAATCAAACACACAACTATAAGCATACACTGGAGTCAAAGATCATCATCAGACATAGCAACGTGCAGACACACACACAGTGGCAGATGTTGTATGTGCAAATTCCATACATTTGCCCTCTCCCAGGGGCTGCATGCGCGTGTGTCTTGCGTTGATTGTAAGCTATTGTCATTTTGGTGATTTCGCTGCGTTAATCCCCAAACACAATTTCGTTTTTCGCACTCCCCTTTGTTGTGGCAGCTACAGCGCTAACAATACACATATGTGCTTATAACTACACACACACACACACGCATGAATATACTCAAACGTATACTACGCAGCATTTAGGCATTAACGAAGGTGTGCGTGGGTGTGTGTGGTTGTGTGGTCGGTGCTTACCTGTCGCTGAGATCGCGCTTTCGCCTTCTGTCCTGCGACAACGCCTCCACGCAGAGCACAATTAATTTGCTATCGCAAGTTTGTCGCTCCTGGTCGAGCAGTTTGTTCCCCAGCAAATTGCTTGCATAACCGAATTTATCTATGGAACTCGAATGCCAGGCGTCGCAATATGTGTCAATCGAACGCTCACCGTTGGGTAGTGAACCGTGCCAAACGTGCTTTTGTGGCCTGTTAATGAAAAACGAAGCAGAAAAAACGCATTACGTAAAGTTCAAGTGAGCGAATTAAATATTTATGCAATAACTGGGATGTGTGCTCACTTGCACATGTATTAGTTAAATTACATTTTGGTGAAATTGAAAGTAAATTTGCTTTTACTTGACAATAATATTAACTCTGTAAATTTATATATATGTTTGGATATAATTTAATATAATAGTGTGGTTAAATAGAGGCTATATTGCAGACATTTCTGTGTTCGAAGAGCAGGGTTGAATGAAAGGTTTAGTGTGTGGCATTTGTGTGAAACATATTTGTAAGGACTCAGTGTCCTTTTTGATTATATTTATTTCAAATTTTTGGTGTTTGTTTGTTATTCACAACCAATTGGCAGCTCTATTGTTTCATATGAACTTTTGTTTATAAAAATATGGTCTGGACGGTTCAGAAGGAAATCAATCAGAATAAGTCAGAAACTCGAAATCACAGAGATGGGTTTTTGAAGTGTGCGAAGCTCATCAGATATCCGGCTATTCACTAACCTGCAACCTTAGCATCATTATGGAGAATTTCACGGTCCTCTAACGAAATAAAAGGTATGTGAAAATGTGAAATAAAAAAAGCAGGTTTCTATATTTTAAAGAGGCTTTTTCTGAGAAAACTAACCACAGTTATGTAAAAGTAGATTCTTGGAGTGAATTGAAAACTAAAGTTTTTTCTACGTCAGGTCAACATAAGGTAGAATAATAATTTTTTTAATCAATGATTTTTTAATGTGTCCCGAGTCCGTCCGTTCGTCTGTTGGTACGCGAACTAGGCAATCAATTGCTGAGATATTGATTTGAAATTGTGCGCGCCCTTTCATCTCCAAAAAACGGCTAATTTGTTGACACAATAATAACATATAGCTGCTATACAAATTGAACGACCGAAATCAAGTGCTTGTATGGAAAACTTTTTAATTTGAGAAAATACCTTTAAGAAAGTTTGTATAGGTTATTGTCACACACAGGAGAAATTTCTCGGATCGGAAAACTATAGCGTATAGCTGCCATGCAAACCTATCAAAATCAAGTCCTTCTTAGGAATATTTTGTGAAGGTGCAACTGAAGTTCATCATTTTTCTTGTTCAAATAAGTTTTGAGGTTATATGAAAAATGTGTAATACACCGATCTCTTTACTACCTACATCTTTTTTTACATTTGTGACCATTTTGAAGGTTTTTGCGTAACAGAACTACGGCGATCAATTTTCAAACGAACATAGAAAATGTTGTACAAATTTAGAAAATCTTTTTTAACTTTTCAGATTACTATGCCGATTTAAATGACTGACTTAACTAAGTTTTTTTAAACTGAAATGTTTATTTTATAAAAAAAAGTTTGTAATTTCATTCGTAAATTGTCTCCAAACGCACAAGTTAAGCAATTTTACATTTTTCCCAACCATTTTTAGGCTTGTCTCTTTTCGAACTCAAACAAGTATCGATCAAAAGATCTTTGTATATATATATTTATTTTCCCTTGGTTATATTCAATGTTAAATTGCTAAATTAATCCATTATGTGATTCCGAAGCTAACATATTCTCAGACTTGCAACTATTCTGTTTACTTGTATTTAGAGTGAATGATAAGCTTTGGTAAGTTGGGCCAAATTGACAAAACGGGTATGTTTGCCTTGCCACTTGGTTACTCGGACATCAAGATATTACTTTAATGAATTTGCTCGAGCTCATGCACACATGCACACTTATATACATGTACATACATACCTACGCGCTCAATTCATTGGCTTTGAATGTACATACAAGGCAGTTTGTAACTGTACATTTGCGTCTCTAATAAATAATGCAAAATGTTGAATGCTGCATATGTATGTAAATACGAACCGTTGTCGCCTGCATCCTATATTAATAATACGTTTATGGATTTTATGGAGATAACTCTGTATATATAGTATATATATATCTCTTTACTTTATGATATGTCTTTATATAGGTATCACTTAATGGAACCTGAATGTATATTAAGCCACCAGCATTTAAGTTAGTATGAAGGTCTAATAGGAGGTTTAAAGATATGTGTGTGTTTGTGTGTACGCATTCAAGAGCTTTAGAGTTCAACGAAATTATTAACCCAGCCAACTGCATGCATATGTTAAAGGATATCTCTTCCCTTTATGATACGGTAGTATACCTCAATAGTATCTATATAAATTATTCCGGGAGTTCGTAATATTTAAATATCTACAAGTTCTCTAAACAAGCCATATTACTGACAAAGCATGTGACCTTTGATTCTGCCGGTTCTTTGCGTAGAGATATGTCTTAGTGCTTGTGGGCGCAAGAGTGTATAGGCATTTATGCTCATATTGCTGCTAAGGCCCACGTTGCTCCGCTTGCAGCGGTCAGTGTCGCCCAGGTCATTAAGATATTTTGATAACATTGCGTCTTGTAATTGAAAATACACACATACATATATAATTAGTGAATGTCTATACGCTGCTAGCCCTAATACTCAGTTGCCTACTAGTCAGTCAAGTTGTAAAGTGTGTCTGTATAGGACGGATTGTTGTAGAAATGACATACACTTTTTTGAAAGGGAGGCAGTTCCTGCTAGTTCCTATAACTTATTAAGTCTTTCTGCCATAAGCGGACTGCCCTAGTGGAGAGCCCTTTTATAAACAGTTAGATTTCTTATGAATCTTATATGTAAGTACAACTAAATTTCACAATTAGTCTCTACGTCGGTAAATGCAATTCAATAAGCTACCGCAGGCTTTTGTAATGATTTCCATGATTTTGTAGAACTTCTTGGTGTACTTGCGTTCCAAAGAGATGTCAGCAGTTATAATTATTGTGGCCACAATGATGCTATGTGCAATTTATGGCTGAAATGCATTGCTCAAGAGCTCAAGATATACATACTTATATACACACACAAGAATATATACGTGTGTAGTAAACACTTGCAGATTATGGTGAATTAATGAAATTTCGAGACACATTCAAGCATTCACTTACAATGGCTACACTATGTAATTTTCGATTAAGTTTATACAAAAGTCTTGACCATTGTTGAAAGCTGCGTCTTTTATGGAGTGGGTTTGCCAAGGTAGATAATGTCTGTCACCCACTTTGCTTCCACCATTGGTACCGCATTAAATATTTTTGGTCCTTATAGAGATGCATCCATTATAACGGAATATTGTAGCTAGCACAACGGCAGTATGTAGATTTGCTAAGTTACTTAGACTTGGGTATTAAGCTCGTAAAGCTCATTGTTCTGTTTGCTATAGTGGAGATCCTTTGGGTCGGCTCTCAGCTTAAGTTGTAGGAAGTCACATGCTAATATGAGTACTACCATGTCGTTCTTATATAGTGGTAATTTCGTTCGTGGGGAGATAACTTTACTTCCCAATTGATAATTGAGACCAAATAATGTACTTCATGTTAGCATAAGTGATCCAAATAAGGTCTGGTAAAAAATACATTATTTTTCAATTGATAGAAATATAATTCGTAACCTATATCTCATATGTAGAGCATTAGGAAGATAAGATTTCGCACTAAGAAACTTTTCATATGGTTTATAGAACAAACTCCTAATTTGGACCTATTATATTAGCAATTGAAACGCCTGAAGGAAGTATTTGCTTAGAAGCGGTCAGCTTTGGCTAATAGAAGAGAAATTATATTCCAACAGGGCAACGATAGGCAAAACACATCGGTTTTGATTCCCCAGAAGCTTCGGCAGCTTGTTGGGAGGGTCTTGTGCATCCAGGTTGTAGTTAGTCCCTAGCACGAAGTGATTTCAACTTGTTCCTGCCTTTTGGTGAATGACTTTGCTGGTAAAAAAAGGTTAAAGAGAAGCTAGTGAAAATCCACTGTTCCAGATTATTGTCCATGGGAACGAGATTTTCCTTGGGAGTGGCATTATGAATTTACTTTCAGAGTGGTAACAAGTTATGAAGTAAACGGTAAAAGCGGTTCGTTTTAACAATGAAAAATAAAACCTTCAATTTCAGGCAACAACAAAGAATTCCTTCTTACTAAAATCTACACTTTAGATTTGAAGTGTAATATTGTTTTTGTTGTTCATACTCGCGTACCATCTGATCCAAATGTAGTCTAATTAATTCAAAATATCGGCAAACAAAAGTTAAAAAATCATTTCATAGAAAAATATTTGCAAATTATCATTTAAAACACATAAACCTCTGGGGGTCGCTAGAACAGCATAAACCAAGTGTTTGCGATATTGATAAAGAAAAAATAAATATCCGCACTCACTTCGCCACAAATATGAAATGTCTCATAAATAGCGAGATATGCTGGTGCCTCATCACCTTGGCGTCAAAGCGCGCGGAATCGCACCATCCACAGCAGATGGACTTACAGCGTTGCAGCGCGGCAGGCATCACAGTTCATCTCTCATGGCAAACCGCTAGCAGCAGATGCAAAGGAGCGCAGGCGTCTGCTGCTGGTGATAGTTAAACGTTAGCGCTAGACACTAAATGAAGCCGCACACACACACATACATATGTACATGTGTAGTAGTTGCATATTGTACACGAACTTACACACTCACTTGTTTGGTGTATGTGTGCGGTTGGATGCAACAAGGCGGAAGCGCTTCACTGAGTTTGCTCGCGAAGACACAAGCCAAGTCAACGAAGCGTACAGCCATTCATTCATTCATTCGTTCGTTCGTATGTTCGCTCATTCGTGCGCTCCTTCAACAGCAGATGCATTTATAGGTCAGCGAGGATACACGCTTATGGGTGCTTAGCGAATTCTCAAAAGAGCGTGCATTCATGCATATCTAAAAACAAGGAGCCGCACCAGCGAAGAACAAAGCCACAGACACACGCACACATACAAAATTTTCTATCTCTGCTCGGTGTGCCCGCATAAGTGCAGAATCCGCCATTTACAAGAAAACGTGCCCAAGAGGCAGTTGCCGCACAAACATCCATGTGCATACATGCGTGTATGTGTGTAGGGGC